GCACTTAATGTCCTTGCAAGTTTGCAGCTTCAGCGATGATAAGCAAATATGCTATGAGCATTCCTCGACAGGATCCCTGGGCCAACAAACATCAGTTCGGCAATTGAAAATGGAAAGAACCAAAGCAATTGTTTCAGGGTTCAGCGAAGAACAACGTACCATATGTCCCAACAACAGGTCTCCTGGCTCCGATACGGACCTCCGGAACACAGCTTCGGACTGAGACAAAGGCGCACAAAACCAGGATGGCGAAGATCAAAGAACCAACAATTGCTGACATGTATGTCAGTAAATCCTGAGAAACAGACACGCAACAGTCCCACGGCCCAGGGCTGAGGGGGATACACCTGCAAAAGGCATGACTATCCCACTTAGTACACACAGAAGTTCCCCATTTCCAGCCATAGATCACAGAGATCGATGGCCAGAAACGAAGGACTCTTTCAGCAAGTGCCCAGGTTGCCCACCCCCAGCCATAGATAAACAAAGACCAACAGTCAGAAAAGAGGAATCTTTCTTTTTTGTTTTAATCAGTGTTGCATACCCCGACGGTTGGCGGCCCTTGACTGGTCGGTTGCCGACCAGCCAACCGGTCCGCTGGTCGACACCTACTGGTTGGGGGCATCGGCACCCCGCCATATTTTCTTTTTTCAGGGGGTCCAGAACCCCTCATAACCCCACCAACAACCCCATACCCGCCCCCAATACCCCCCCCAACACCCCCAAACCACCGCTCAACACCCTCATACCCCCTACACCACCCCTATAACCCTGCTATGCCCCCCACCCCCCCCTTACCCCGCCCCCCCCCTCCCCAAAAGTTTCTCAGCGGATTTGGGCTGTACTGTTTTCTGACTGGTCGGCAGACCACCGATCGACTGCAAAACGGTCGGCGGTCGGGGTCAGGGTCGGGGTCGGGGTCGGCGGTCGGGGTCGGCGGTAGAGGTCGGCGGTTGGGGTCGGGGTCGGCAGTCGGCACGTATGCAACCCTGATTTTACTAGAAAAGAGGAATCTTGGTACGTGAGACCAGTTCCTTCCTGTGTGCAGGATGTGTGTGCTGCCTGCTTCTGGAACAAGATGGAGCTAAAAGCCTAGAACCATTTAGTATTCAATACTATTCATTGATTTTTGTTCATTTATTTCGCCAGTTTTCTTTGCATTCTCATTTTACGGAGCACCTCGTTAAGATTAAATAGCACTACACAAACTTTGCCAAGATAAATGAAAATTTGTTCCCGATGAATAAACATGTTCATCAAGAAAATACAGTGAATCCTGCGTAGAAAGAAACAATTCCCTAAACTGATCAATATGTGGCCCATGACACTGCAGAAGAAGAAGGGGAAAAAAAACTAAAAAAGTATAATAAACTGAAAATAAATGAGTACAATGACCTAAATCCTGCCTAGAAACAGCCCCTTGAAACAAAGCTACCACCGAAGAAAACAAGGAGAAGACGGAACTGGTATAAGCTCAGGTTCCCCTTCTTCAATGCTTCCTTTTCTTCTCTTCCTCTGTCTCCTTCCTTCTCCTTCCTCCCTCGCCTCTCCCTTCTCTCTCTCTCTCTCTCTCTCTCTCTCTCTCTCTCTCTCTCTCTCTCTCTCTCTCTCTCTCTCTCTCTCTCTCTCTCCCTCCCTCCTTCCCTTGTCCCTACCCCTCCGAGCTGCCCCTGCCTCCCATCTCCTGCCCTAACCACCACTGTCTTGCTCTGGTTCCCACACACACACACACAGGCACACACACAGGCACACACACACACACACACACACACACACACACACACACAGGCACAAAGAATTTGCATATGGAAATGTTGTTGTCTCATTATTTACAAACTACGCCCCATTTCCTTCTTCCCAATCTGTCCGATCTTCCCTTCTGCTGTTGGTATCCAACAAGCTGCTTCATTGCAAGTGGACTTTCCACGTTCAGGGGTGCACTTGATGTCCAAAGGCCAAAGGAGCAGACACTTCATTCTATTTCTTTTGTGCAGCACACTGCACATATTCGCCTCCGCTCCTGATCTCCACCTGCTTTTCCTCCCTTCCCCATCTGTCTGCCAGATCCTCCACTGGAGTTTGTTGCTCTGACAACAGATTGCTGTCGCCAGTCGACGGCCCCGATTGTTTCCTGCTTGTTCCTCCAGATACTTCGCTCTCTCCCCATCCTCGCCCCATCCATTTCAGTATTCCTCTCCCTCCTCTGAACCCACTTGCTCTCTTTTTATTCCATCATATTAATTGCCGTGGAGAGCACGCAACAACCAAACAGCTCAGACTGAGACCGGGCATGACAATAATCGGGGATGGTCTATTGCTAACCCATGTGCCACACAGCACAGTTCTTGACTCATTCCTTTGTCGCTCAGACACTCAGCAGAACGCTCAGCCAATCCCTTGTAGGCTCTGCTCTACTCTTCTCAGTTGGCCGCCAAGGCTCAGTCAAGCAGTCTCTTTTCATTCCAGCTCGCCCAGTGACATATACTGCGGACACTTCGGTCAATCACTCGGTCTGTCCCACAGCTCATTGATCTTCCTGCGCAGAGTCAGACTGACAAAGCGGCGCATCTGTTAGAGTCGGCATCAGTGAATGGTTGATCTATCTCTCTCTCCTTGATGCAAAGCTTCAGCCACACGATGGCTGTGCGGCACATGATAGCCATCTGTGAACAGTTTGTCTGCCCCTCTCTGCTGTCAGTCACAGCTCTTTTCTCTGCACAAGATTGGTTCTCTGAGAGTAAGTAGGTTCATCATCATCCGTCCTTCAGACATCCGTTACGATACACACAAGATTAGCATGGCCCCGGCTGCGGAAGGATGACACGCATAAAAAAAAAAGAAAAAGGGGGGGAAAAGAAAAGGTTCATCTTCATCCGTAAGGGCACAAATTGTATAACTGTGAGGCAGATGATAGCAATCGGCAAATCGCACATCGGGCCCCCCTCTCTGCTCTCAGTTGCAGCTCGTTTTTCACAGAGAGATTGCTTCACTAACAGTCTGTAGCTTCATCATTCTTCATCATCTCCAAGGGAACAAACAGCAGGTCTGTGTGGGGTTGCATCAGTCAGTAATTGAGCTCTCGGTTGGCAAAACTCGACATTCGACAAGCTATACACGTGTTGTGCATGGACCACCTACTCCAAACTCCCACCCCTCCCATGATGGCAATGGGTTGAGTGGCAATCAGGCGTACAGCAAGCTCTATCACCCTGGAGAGAGGTTCTCCATTCTGCTCCTTTTTTCTTCCTTCAGCGCTGCTGGAGTTGATACGTCAACAGCTTCCACATATAGAGGAGAGGGATGTGCAAACAATCCCCTGCTACCGTGATCCTCCCCGATCTTTCTCCTCCATCCGTTTGCGATACTGCGCTTCCGCTAGTTTCGCCATCTCCACAAGCTTCTCCGCTGCTGTTCCAACGCTCGGCAAGTTGTACGACTGGGCTAGATGTATTCCCACCCCCGTTCCAATCACGAATGCCAGTGACGTCCTCAAAAAACCCATCCTTCCCTACCTATCTACCTCTGTATCTATCCACCTCTCTCTC